GATTATCATTAGGTTTGTTTGTAGCCTTCATTATATAGTGTGTAGAAAGATCGTCGTAGGTTTTGTACATTAGAGACACTTGGAGTTCATTGGTAGTTTGGTAGACTCGCGGTCGTGGTGCCGACCAGTTCTAGGGACGAGTGGGCTTGCTTTGTTGTATGCATGTTTAGAGTTTACTTCATTGTCATTAGGTTTGTATGTAGTCTTCATTATACAGTGTTTAGAAAGATCGTCGTAGGTTCTGTATATTAGAGACACTTAAAGTTCATTGGTAGTTTGGTAGATTCGGACACGTACGTGGTTGATATATAGATGATGATCTTTATACACGATCCTTGGTTATTTCGTATGTCATAACACTCATGTTTTACTTGTTGACTCATGCGGACTTTGCTTTTCATGTCATAACACTCATGTGGACTTTGCTTTTCATGAATCCTGATGTATGCTAAGAACATGTCGACTATGTTTTTCATGTTTCAGTTCTCGTTTGAGCAAACGTGTGTGTTGTTTATAGTTCTTACACGTTGCTTGGACGACCACGCGTTTACTTTAGTATGTGCATGTTTAATCTCTGACTTATTGAGTTCAGATTGTGTTGCGTGTGTGATATCGCATGTGTGGTGATGAAAACGTTTGTGGACTTTGTTTTTCATGTATCTTGATGTATGTTAAGAACATGTGGACTATGTTTTTTATGTTTGCTAATAACATGTATTACTCATGACATTTTGCACCTATGGATGTCCGAATCAAACATACAAAATCCCCATTTTATTCACCCCCATTAACCCCACATTTTTTATAACCACCACTGATGAAGAAACTTGCAAAACGAAATGAAGAAACTTGAAAGGAGAGAGAGGGTAAGAAGAAGAAGAAGAAGTAAGAAAGAAAACAAAAATGACAATCCCTCATGCAAAACGAAATGAAGAAACTTGAAAGGAGAGAGAGGGTAAGAAGAAGAAGAAGAAGTAACAAAGAAAACAAAAATGACAATCCCTCAGACATAGACGAATTAAAAAGACATTGACAAACCCCAACCCCACATTTTTTAAAACCGCCTTGAAACATAGTGAATATCACCATGCGAGGTAGTCAGGTTGGTTGTTGGGGGGCTAGGGGTCAAAATGGTGGGTTGGGGGTCAAAACGGTGGTTCGGTGGTCAAAACGGTAGGTGGGGGGTTGGGGGTCAAAATTGTAACATTGGGGGTCAAAACGGTGGCATGGGGGTTAGAACGGTTGACAACCCCCAACCCCACAATTTTTATAGCCACCACAACAGATCGTGAATATCACCCGGCGGGGTGGTTTGGTTGGTTATTGGGGGGTTGGGGGTAAAAACGGTGGATTGGGGGTCTGGGGGTTGGGGGTAAAAACGGTGGATTGGGGGTGAAAACGGCTGGTTGGGGGTAAAAACGGTAGGTCAGGGGTCAAAACGGTGGGTGGGGTGTTGGGGGTCAAAACGGTGCCATGGGGATCAGAACGGTTGACAACCCCCAACCCCACATTTTTTAAAACCACCCCGACACATATTGAATATGCCCAGATGGTGGTTTGGGGTTCCCCACAGTGGGTTGGGGGTCAAAACGGTGGGTCGGCGGTCAAAACGGTGGGTTGGGGGTCAAAACGGTGGCATGGGGTCAGAAAGGTTGACAACCCCCAACCCCACAATTTTTAAAACCAACCCGACACATCGTGAATATCGCCAAGCGGGGTGGTGTGCTTGGTTGTCGGGGGTTGGGGTCAAAACGGCGGTTTGGGGGTCAAAATGGTGGGTCGGGGGTCAACACAGTAGGTGGGGGGTTGGGGGTCAAAACGGTGGCATGGGGGTCAGAACGGTTGACAACCCCCAAACCCAATTTTTTTTAAAACCACCCCAACACATAGTGAATATCACTACGCGGGGTGGTTTGGTTGGTTGTTGAGGGGTTGGGGGTCAAAACCGTGGTTTGGGGGTCAAAACAGTGATTTGGGGGTCAAAACGTTCGGTTGGGGGTGAAAACGGTGGGTGGGGGGCTGGGAGTCAAAACGGCGGGTTGGGGGGGAAAACGCTGGCTTGGGGGGCAGATCGATTGACAACCCCCCACCACCTTCCCCCCCCCCCCCCCCCCCCCCCCCCCCCCCCCCCCCCCCCCCCCCCCTTTTTTTTTTTTTTTCCAAAAGGGGGGGGGCCAAAACCCCCCCCCCCCCCCCAAAATAAAAAAGGGGGTTTTGGGGGGGGGGGGGGGGGGGGTAGAGACCCCCCAAAACAGAAAATAACACACAGCCCCCAATTTTTTTTTATTTTTTTTTTTACCCCTCAAGGCTGCAGCGGCCGACCTGCGCAAGCGGCGCGCGCGCGCCCCCGTTTGGCTGCAACTCGGCCATGGCCGCGGATCGTGCGGCCGCGGCCGCGGCCGAGGGTGCCACGTAGCCGGTTCGTCTAAATGAATGGGCATTGACACAGTCTGTGAAACGAGGAGGGAACGGGGGAGGGGGGGATCTATAAGAAGTAAAAAAATGTTTAAAAAATCTAAAAGAAATAATTCAAAATCAAAATCTAAAAAAAAAAAAAGACAACCCCCCCCAAAAAAAAACGGTTGTCCGCTTACAATGGGCGCCTGCTGACATTCTGGGGACAATGAGTCTCGAATCACTTTCTTTTGCGTTAATTGGCGCTTCGGGATAAGAAGAGCTCTGTGCCCAATAGGTTATCGATTCGTGGGCCTGGCCGTCCCTGCCCGTCTCGCCTGTCTCAAGGATGACCTCCCTCCGTCCATCTAATGGTTGCTTTGCCGGGTCGGCTAGGATGTGAGGGTTCCGTACCTCACACGTGGCACCGAAACCCGTACTACAGGTAACTAAAATTTTGTGGTCCGTCCCTTCTGCGGTGCAGCCTCCTACTTGGCGTGACTATTATTTGTAGCCTACTTAGGCTCTGAATCGCGTGGCTTATTTTAAGTCGGCCAGGTTTAGCTTTGGCATTCCCACGTCCGTGCCTCTTTGCGGCCCTGTTAGAAACCGCCAACTACGGTCATTACTCTCGGATGCCGCAGGCATCCGGAGTAAGGTTTAAAAGTTTTAGTCTCTTAATCATAAGTCAGGTCTGAATAAACTTCAGGCAAACGCGTCAACTTCGTCAAGTCAAAATTCACACAAATGTCAGACAGCGTCTGGTGTTCAAAATACCTAGCAGATACCCTTGTAAGGGTTTCTGCTCCGACACCACGACAAATGAAGATGCTCTGAGTAGTAGCTCCACATCTCAGGCCAGGTACAACAAACCTGGTCGTAGCTCCATATAGCATATTTGAGGCAGCGAAAAACAAACATCACAGCACAGCACCCACACGGAACACAACAAAGCAAACCGCTCCACGCCATGGCGACCAAGCTGTGCTCGCATACTCCTGAGAGCGGCCGCCGTGGGCCGCCAGCGAGAGCTGGGTATGGTGACCACAGCCCCAGGCTTTCCCTTTGCCGCTGGTGCCAGCAGCTTCGGGCCGAAGCGCTAGACCGCTTGGCCATCCTATGGGGTGCAAAAGTACAAATTGGTCCGAAGGCTACCCCTCCCCTCTTTTCTCACCTGTCAGACAAAGAAATATGAGACAAGGTTGAACAAACCCCATTACAAGTGTGTTCTAGTGAATGAACATAGGGGTTATAACAGCCCATGTTCTTCAGACCCCCCCTTTCTCCACATTCAACGCACTTCCTCTGCTACCCGGTGTCACCCCTGGCAGTAAGGGTCAGATCCCATTACCCTGGATTATTCATTTTTCACCCTCGATTAAGAAGATCAACGGTCAGAAATGAACAATAGGGGCTAGTGGGATCTGGCCCTAATCTACAACTGACCAGCACTAGGTAATCCAGAAGTACAGGTAATTCGGAAGTATAGTACTTCACTCATCTGGGTTTGAACACCGGTCCGTATTGGGTTTGAACACCGGTCCGTATTTCAACAGTTTATGGGTGTGCCATGCCAACTGCGATAGGCCAGTCGGTGTTGCGCAGTCTTTCCCGCTCGGAGCGTCGTTGACCAGTTCGTGGTTTCTTTCGCGCCGAAGTTCCTCAGCGCCGCGACGCCACTCCGCTCCCTTGGGCCAGGTCCCACCAGCAGCGCTGAGTTTCCCCAACGCCCAAATCTGAATCTGGTCGTGTGTGGGGAGCCGTGCAGAAAATCGCGTTGAGTTTCGCCAACCGCACATCTCGACAAACACGTCCAGATTCGTGCGTTGAGGAAACCGAACTCTGCTAGTGGGACCTACCGGTAGCCTGTCGACGCGGGTTCCACCGTAGACGGTTTTGTCGAAGAGATAGAGATGGTACAAAATGCATGCGAGATACGGTACAAATAGCAATGCGGGGCCCGCAGGGGACCTGCAGCTCGCACGCGAGCGCTCATGCCGCTGGCTGCCCTGGGGCCCACAGTAGGCCGGCGCCGACCGGCGGGCCCGTGCCTGGAACCTACCCCAGACACGGGCGCGGGCCCGCCTACTGTCCCATTACAGGGAGGGAAGAGCAAAGAGAGGGAACCGCCGTTGCCCCTCTTCCCCCCGCCGGGCGGTAAGGTCACCGTGTTATACGCTGCTGCTTGCGCTCGGCGCGCTTCAGGTGGGCTGCATTTCAATTGCGGTCGTGCCCCAGCGCGCGCTGTTTATGCGTCAGTCCCGATCCGGATCCTATTCCCCAGTTCCCCAGCGTTGTCGACGAAGGTGGTGGTCCCGCCGATCCGCGGATGAACCAGCGCCCGCCATGGCCACTGGGGTATGGACCACGCCCGTTAGTAGTCCGGCCAGCGATGGAGCTGGGAACAGCCTGACGGTGCTTCGATTGGTGACATAAGAAGTTACTGCAACGGACTGGTAGACACAGCGCGGGAATATCGCGCCACGTGGCGTGACATGATATGACGTGGCATGACGTGATGTGCTTTTGAAGCGGGGGGGGGTGCTCTTTGGAGTCCCTGTGAAGGTCTTACTTCACGGGCTTTCGTCGCGGTTCGTGCGTCTGTGGATGATGAGTAGGGGCAAGGAGGAGACTCACGACAAGATGTAGGGGCGAATGCCCAGCCAGACACAGCGAAAAGGGGGTGTGGTGTGGATTTCCGCGATTCCATCAACGACAAGGGACGACACATCAGCATGGGAACAGAAGGGTCAAAAAGCTCTCCAGCGCCAGGTAAGCCACGCTAAGCATATATATATATACGTACACACAGAGGGAGAGAGAGAGAGAGAGAGAGAGAGAGAGAGAGAGAGCTGGAAAATTTACACACAATGTTTGTCCTCCTCCAACGGTCAGAAAAATTGTGTGATGGTCGATCGCGAGATTGTTTGCTTGGCCTGGGCCCTGGGCAGTCTTTGGCTCGAATTTCAAAGGGCTCTTTTTTGGGCTATTTTTACTTGCCCCCTCTCCCCCCCCCGCGAGGCCCTCTAATCCCTCGTGCGCGCCGTACTTCCCCCCCAACCCGATCCATTTCAAAATTGTGGGTTCCCTGTCCTTGAGGAGATCATCGTTCAGACATTGAAAAAAAAAAAAAAAAAAAAATCTTCAAACGTCAGCAGCTCGAAGGTGTAGTGGTAGGTAGGTAGTGTGAGGTGAAATTGAGAGAAGAATATAGCTTTAAAAAAAAAGAAAAAGAAAAAAAAGTTGTGCGTAAAACGGCGCCTATTGTGCGAAAAAGAAATACATTCAACACAATTATTAATTGGCAGTGAAAAGAAGTAAATGCCATTCTTTTTGTCAGAGCAATGTAATATGTTGCTTGGTTTAATTTGGGAGAAGAATATAGTGTAGTTTTAAAAATTATGGAAAAAAAAAGATGAAAAAAAAATTTCTTGCTCTAATCCAAACGAGAATGAAGACATAATGGAATATAAGCAGCGGTGTAATTAAGTTGAAGGGAAAATTAATCAAGGAGGAATAACGTTGGGGCTCTCTCCTAATAGTCTACATTTCGTTAAAAATAAAATACAACTAAACTCTGAAAAAAAAAGCAATTAAAGTAGGGACTTGTCTTATAAAAAAAAAGATCTATAAAACTTACTAAAAAGTGAATTTGAGAGAAGAAATATAGCTTTAAAAAAAAAGGAAAAAAAAGGGAAAAAAAAGGGAAAAAAAAGGGAAAAAAAAGGGAAAAAAAAAGGAAAAAAAAAAGGAAAAGAAAAGGAAAAAAAAAGGAAAAAAATAAAGGAAAAAGAAGTACGGTATTTTTTTTGAATCTGACTGCATCTGGATTCGAACTTGGGTCTGTACTTCACCAGTTAATGGGTGCACCAACTGAGCTTAGGCCCGTTGGTACATAGTATAGTTTTTAACTCTTTTTTTAATCGAAATAAAGGTCTTTTTTTTTTTTTTTTTTTTTTTTTTTTGAGAGGTCGGTGGATGACGATGGAACTTGCTTCCCCCGAACACAACGTACGGTCATTATAGCTGTATCTAGACTGACAGATGCCTCAAATACAGCTATAATGACCGTACGTTGTATTCGGGGGAAGAATGTAGTCCGGTTCTCCTCGAATCAGATTTCATTCGGTTTTGTTTTTTATTTCCCTTTTTTTTCTGG